CTCCTCCTCGTCCTCCTCCTCCTCCTCCTCCTCCTCCTTTTTACACCGTTGCACCATTCAAGGTCTGCTTTGAGCATGCTCACAAGTAGGCAGAAAGAGGCGGCTTCGAAGTCGCAGATCAGGGGGTGCCTTTCTTGAGGCACAACAGAAGCCTGGACCGTGAGGCGCCTGAGAAGGCAAGGGGGACCGAAGGGGCCTGGATGGGCCATGGGTCCGAGATCGTGTGCGGAGACCCTGGCACCTCATCCTTCTACAACTTCTCGAGGTCCTTCAAAGAGGAGGGGGTACGATGGCACGGCCGCTCAAGCTTCACAGCTCTCGTGGTGCCCATTTACCACACCTCCCACAAACAGTGGAGGCACTTCTGACTCGACGAGGATGGCGGCCCGCCCCAGCCAGGGCCCTTACTCCCGACCTTGTGATCCAGGAGGTCCTGTCTGGGGGTGGGGGTGGGGACAGCGAACGCATGTCGGTCGATGGCGAGACTCTTGCACTCCCTCGGAATGACGTTCCCCCCGCAGCTTCCGGGAAACCGTATCCCGCATACCCGCTTTCTTTCTCGTCCTCCTCCAGCTCTTGTCCTCCTCTTCCTCCTCATCTTCCTCCTCCTCCGCCTCCGCCGCTTCCTCCTCCTTTCTCCCTGTGATTACCGCGAAACCGCATCCCGCAGAACCTCTCTCTCTCTCTCGTCCTCCAACTTGTGTCCTCCTCCTCCTCCTCCTCCTTCTCCTCGTCCTCGTCCTCCTCCTCCTCCTCCTCCTCCTCCTCCTCTTCTTTTTCCTCGCCCTCTTCCTGCTCCGTCCACTTGCCGCTCCCTCTCGGCTGCCCCTGCGCCGCGCCGCTGGTGAAGCCGCTGGTGACCGGGTGCCCCAGGAGGTTCACGAGGGCACCGAAGTTCAGTATGCTGCCGACGAGCTGGAACCTGAGAGGAGGAGGAGGAGGAAAGGAGGAGGCCAGGGCGTGAGGAGGAGGACGGAATGCAGGAGGAGTGAGGAGGAGGGGAGGAGAGGAGGAGCGAGGAGGAGGAGTGAGTGCGTGGGGGGGAGGAGGAGGAGGAGGAGGAGGAGGAGGAGGAGGAGGAGGAGGAGCCCGCCGGCCGGGAGCCGCGCGCGGGCCCGGCTGAGGACCGGCCGCGCGACGATGGGGGCAGTGAGAGAGGGGCAGGCCCTCTCAGAAGGCGACGGGGCCTCTCAGAAGCCCTCCGGCCGTCCGAGACGCTGTGCAGGTCTTCGGGGAAGGCTCAGAACGGGGGATCTTCGACGAAAGATAAAAAATACCCCCAACATAGTCCAAAAATAATCAAAAACTAGTCTGGGGACTATTTTTGGAGTATTTTCTTGACCTTTTTGGGATATTTTGGGGGTATTTTTTTTCGTCGAAAATCCCCCTGTAGGGGGACACGCCCGACATAAGCTTATGACATTTCTCGCAAAATATCCGCACTCCACCCGGCGCTGCCCCCCGTCGCAGGCCCGCGCAGGTCACGCGCAGGTCACGCGCTCCCTCGGATGCGCAGGTCAGCGCAGGTCACAAGGTCAGCACACTCGCCGTCGCTCGGACGTCCCTTTCCCGTGCATTTTTTTCGGCTTCGTGCGCGAGTTTTGCTTGCTCGATGGTCCAGGGTGGTCCTCTCCAGCTCGCCATCGCTCGGCCGTGCCCGTTCTCCGTGCAGGTTTTTCGGCTTCGCGCGCGTGTCTTTCGCGAAATGATCAAAGTGAAGGGGAACCGGGACACACAAATAAATACACACAAATAAAATGATCCCCCATATTTTCCTATATTTTCTGGGTTTTCGTCTTCCCCCCCACTTCCCATATTTTCCCATATTTTCCTGGGGATCGTCGATTAATTGTGTCTGTGTGTTTTTTTCCCTCCTGACAACGATACCCCTCGAGGGTCCTCGCCGAGAAAAAATGCACACGTCCGAGCCATGCAAAGGCGCAGGTCGGCAGGTCGGCGCGCGGGTCGGCGCGCGGGTCGGCAAGCGCGGGTCCGAGCCCGCTCGGGCCCGCGCCCGACCTGCGCCGGTCGGCGCCGTGGGCCCTCCGGGGGGGGGCTCTCGGATCT